GGTTCCTAAGCTCATTGACTTCTTCTTGAGTTGCCATTATCTTCTTAGCCTTCCTCTTTTGACGAATCGGTTTATCAAAAAGCGAGACTTAAATAAAGAGGTTGTCCTTGATTAATCGCCCTTCTCTCCTCGACCAAGTACTGTGGAAAAGGAATTTCGGGATACTTATTGTTAATTATTTGACTCAAAATTTATTCAACATGCAATGGATGGAGGAGGTGAAGAAAGATGGAAGAATATGAAGAAATATTTAAATGGAGGTGGAGGGATATGAAGAATTAGGAGTAGAATGTACCCCAACTCAAATGACGGAAAAGACCGACTTATGCATGAACCTAAGACATGGCCATGGTGATGTGTACTCAAAGTGTGTGCTAAGACTAGTGAGTGTAGGTGACATGTTAAGACTCGTGTCATGACCATGTGGCTAGACTATGTGACCAAGACTCGATTAATGACTCGACAAAGTGTTATTGACAGCGAAAATTAACCGAATTAATTAGTAAACTGGTTAATTAGACCCTAGGTGATGACTCGACAAATAATCCGAACTGTCGGCCAAGCGACAGGACTGGCGTCACAATATGGTGATTGGCGCCAGACTTTTTAGTAAATGTCTGGTGCTAAACACCATGCAGTGGCGCTACAGTTCAGATTTTGGCACCAATATTGGAGCCTCAGTCTGAGACTGTTTTCGATATTATTAGTCAACTGGGGTATGCCTAAAGTCGTACTAGGTCGATTCCGATTAAAAGAAGAAAAAACTTTGTTGACTCAAATTAATTAATTAATTAATTAGGAAAAGTTCTTTTAGTCATTAATTATAACATGGAATATATATGCACAACAAAATAATGCACAATTAGGCAAGTAAGCACAATATGATGCAATGAGTTCGCAACCTAACCATGGCTCTAGTTCTCTAAAGTTCGGGATATGGTTTAGTCAAACAGGGTCCATGGTTAATTGTCCAGATGCACCGCGTAGAAGCCTAACCGTGAAGGGTTAACGCGTGTGGATAGAACACCGCGAGTTTTTAGAAAAAAACTCACTTCCATGGTTTGGTGAATTCAACCTCTCAGATGTACCCTTTGTTGCCAGGAGCGTTCAATCGGGTAGATAGAGCATGAATTCCCAGAGGGTTATGTCCATATGTAGAACACATATGGGTTTCAGAAAAGTGAGAAAAAATTCAATCAGGAAGCAGGATCGAGCAAACAATACGAAAAACCGGTCAAAATTAGAACGCATATTTCTGGCTCGGTATTGGGGGAAATTGGCGCCAGCAAACAGAGACTGGCGCCAACTTTTAACTGTAGCGCCTGGCGCCAATACTGGTGTCTGGCGCTACGGCTAAAAGTTTGGCGCCAAGCTCTGGCCCCTGACGCTACTTCCCACATGCCTCAGCAGCTTTTTGTGCTCAATAAAATCATCCAGTTTTGCGCGGTGTTATTTCAGTCCTGGTTGTGAAAGACATTTCTCAAATTTCCTACGTGTAAAATCCTATGCTTTTGACTCATTACGGATGGTCTTTCCAATGAGAACCTTTTTATGTATATGACAATAATGTTAATCAAAATTACGCACGTGAAATACTTAGAACTTTTCGAGTCTCATCCACTCATTCTAAATCATTGCCGAAACAAATTCAGGAATTAAAATAGAAATCCTCCCCAGTGGAGTCGCCAAAAACTGTAGGGAATAATTTCAAGCCTTTAAAAATCCACTAGCTTGAACCCCACTGTGATCATACACTAAAGTACGGTGGCGTCCAAAAGGGAAGAAGATAGAGCAAAAGAGTCGCCAACAAGTTTTTAAGGAACTTGTAAACCATTCACGAGGATGAAGGTTACACCCCTTAACGATCCAAGAGATCGTCAACTCCATAAGGTTATGAACCAAATAAGGGTTCGGGGATGAAGGTACAAATCCAACCTAAAAGAGATTGAACATGCCCTAATAATAAGCCTCTACTTTATTCTGCTCGTATTCATGTGCGCTTTCTGACTAACATACAATCAATAGGATTAACCCTAAACCTGTTTAATCTATGTTGGTTGAATTTAATGCACAAACAAACTATTATTGGCGATCACTTGAATTTATAATCACAATTAACCTAACAAGATTATTGATTATCTTATTAAGCGTGATTGCAAATACCAAGTTCCCTTTAAACATGCAATAAAAGGTGATCAAGCAATAACAATATATAAACCAAGCAACATAACAAATAATCAATAATCAAAAATCATAAATATTAGAGAGAATATAGGAAGCATCATACTTTTAATCATACTTGATCTTAAAGTTACCCTAGACATGATACCAGGAATCAAAATAACAATCTAAGCATGATATCTACATCATAATATCAATTAATCTTTAAAGTACTTACATGGATGCCTCGTACCTCTTTCTAATAACAAAATACACACGTTAGTAACTTCAAGGAAAATAATAATCAAACAATTAAATTAAATAATTGAAAGAAAGATTTGGGACCCAACCCTCAGAAATTAAACCTTTCACGTCTAGGGCGAAGGCAACTTCGAATATGGCTAGGTGTTTCTAGATCTCGTGAATATGGAATTTTGTATTAAAAAGCAAAGAAAAGAAAGAATGAATGAATTAATATTATTGAAAATTGATGAATGAAAGATGTAGATGAAAAGAATCGATGAACGATTTGTGAATGAATAGAGTTGATTATTAGTAATTGATGATGAAAACGGAGTTTTTGATACGATATTTATAGAGAAAAACATCCAAAAAAGATAATTTATCAAAACAGAGCCTGAAGATTCCAAAACTAACTTGGCGCCAGCCCTGGCTCATTGGCGCTAGGACCAGTGGCTAGCGCCAGGCGCCAATGGCTGGCGTCTGGCGCCAATCCTGATTCCAGGCGCCAAGGCATGGGGTTGGACGCCAAATCGGCTTTCAACGCGTTTTCGAAAATCTGATAAAATTCCCGTACTGGAAGATAAAATAATATAATTTCAATCGAAAATGCTATTTGATCTAATTAAAACTCTGAAGAATCCTAATTGAATTAAGAATGATAAGACCTTCTAGAATGTTCTAGAATACTAAAACCATTCCTAATTGCATTAGGAATGATAAATCATATTAGGCCCTCCCCTAGATCATTGGGCCGTACTTAAAGCTCAAACCGGGCCCAGTTTAGTAAATTGGCCATAACTTCCTCAATATTCATCGGAATTGGGCTTATAATATATCGTTGGAAAGGTCTTTGCAAACCCCATCCAACTACACCACTATTGGACCCATATCATGAACCGACCAATATGGATTGGCTGTTTTCTTAAAATAAAGTTTTCAAAAACAGAGAGAAGAGAAAAGAATTAAAACTTTCCGCAACACTAGACCTTTCCACACTTTCGTTTCATTCGATTATGATTCGACGTGAAAGGTACTCATCACTGGGTTTGGTTTTGGGGAGACACAAATGGGTGTCTACAGGAATTTATTTCTATTTCAATAATATTAAGGGAAATCGTACACGGCCGGAAATGAAAAGTGTAACACTTAAAAAAACACGGAGGGAGTAATGCTTTTCCCTAACCCTTTTTGACCGTGTTAAGTAAAATGCAATTGTACATAAGAATTGAGAGAATATAATGGATGTAAAAAAAAAGGAAAATCTGTCGATGGGTTCCACTAGGATGAGATTTTAAATATTTATTTGGTGGTAAACGCGAAAATATATATTTGGAAAATTTGTATATTGCAGCCATTTAAATTTTGTATTTTGCAAATTGCAGCCATTTAAAAAATAAATTGCAAATTACAACCCTAAAGTTCTTATAAATTATAAATTGCAGCCCCATTCAACTTTTTCACGGGTTACGTGTCGAAAAATATTCGGTTAAGGTTTTAGGGGGGCATTTTAGCTCTAAGAATCTAAATTGAGCTCGGAATTCAAAAAAAAAAAAAAAAAAAACCTAAGTGCCTCATTTTTTTTATATAACAATAATAATAATTTTTTTATACATATGATTTAAATAGTAACAGTTTTTATTTTTATAATTTTTTATTAATATTTAATTTTTTTATGATCAATTTTTATTTTGCATCCTCTAGACCACTATATATGTTGTTTTGTTTTTAGAATTAAGAGAAGAATATAAATGTTTCTTATATTTTACACACACGCATTGCATGTGTTTCTTAGCTTTTATATATAACTAGATTATTAAGTCCCGTGCCACGCTTGATTTTACAATTTTATAAAGAATTACTCGTATTATATAAATTCAAAATCTATCAAAAAATAATACTCATATTGTAAATGAAATTAAGAAAAAAAACTTGAATATTAATTTATACCCGTGCAAAAGACTTTAAGGTTGAGACTTTCATCGGCACAACATTTTATGAAAAATTTATTTGTATGTTTTTTTACAACATTTTATGAAAATTTTATTTGATTTTATTTTACTTTTTTTTTTTTTTTGAAAAATTTCATTTTATTTTACTTAATGATGATAAGAAATCAACATTTTTTTAGAATTGTCACACAAAATTTGGACACTTAGTAGATAAAAAATTATTTATATACATTATGTTACAATATGCAAAGAAAATGATAGATATTATATTTAGGATAATATTTGTCGCAGATTAGGATATATTTATTGTATATCTTGTATGTTTATCGTATCTAGGATTCCTAACGTGATTAGGCCTAGGGTTGTAAACACTATATATTCAGATTGAGGAGTTTATTCCCGAAATCTAACATGGTATCACAGCCAAGGTTTTAGATCTCAAATTTTTTATTTTTCCAACTTTATTGGTTTTTTTTTGTTTTATTGGGACCTAGCCTTAATCACACTTCCGCATTCTTTCCTCTGTTTCTTTCAGATTTCACACCTTTTTCACTTTAGCAATTAATTTTGCCAGCACTACTATTGCTTTAGCATATTTAATTCTTCTCTTTGGCTTCATAATTACCTTACCCGAACACAGAAGCTTTCATGGCCAAGGAAGATGAAACCCCACCACCGCCTCCTCCTCCTTCTAATGAGTTCCATTCGGCACTCACCATCTCAAACATCAAAAACTCGATCCCTTTGACTCTCGACTACGAGAAGGTTCAATACTCTAATTGGGTAGAATTGTTTGATAATCACGTTTGTGCATACAACGTTCTTGATCACATTGATCCAACCGTATCTCGTCCTAAAGATATTTCGGATGCGTTATGGATTCGTTTAGATGCCATTGTCAAGCAATGGATATACGGCACAATTTCGGTTGAACTCCTACAAACAATCCTCAAACCAAAGTCCACTGCTAGGCAGACTTGGGATCGACTTCGGGAAATCTTTCAAGACAACAAGACCACGAGGGCGGTGTATCTTGAAACCCAGTTGAATGAGCTTCATCTTGACAGCTTGCCGAACGTCACAGCATACTGTCAACAACTCAAGAACCTCGCTGATCAACTTGCCAATGTTGATCAACCGATCTCTGATCAAAAGCTTTTTCTCCGACTTATTGCGGGTCTAAACAAAACGGACTACGACACCGATGATTGCACAGACCGATCCTTTACCCTCCCTCCATACGGCTCGTTCTCGCCTTTTACTTGAAGAAACTCGCCGCAACAGTGATTCCGGCAAGGCATCCTCATCGTTTGTTGCACAAACACCACAGTCTGACCCCTCACCTCAACAGCCACCGGCCGGCGGAAGGGGAACAGGAAACAGTAGCGGTCGTGGACGAGGCAGCAAACAGGGGCGAGGAAAGGGACGCGGCCGAGGCGGAGGAGGACAAGGTCGTGGCGCCAACCAGCCATCACAACCAAACCCACAACAACAGCAAACTTGGAAGCAACAACTCGCATCTAATGTGCAAACTTGGGCTCAGCAGCCTTCTTGGCCCAATCCAGTTCAACAATTCTGGCAGCCGCAAGGTTGGACCGTCCCACCAGCGCCTTTCCCCACTAATGGGGTCTATCAGGCTCGGCCCACTGCTGGTCTAGGGCGCGGCTTGTATTCTCAGCACGCCTACACTGTTAGACAACCCCAATACGGCCCACCTATGACACCCACGGAGTTCGGGAGTGCATATTCTTCAATGGGACTTTCAAGTCCGGATAATGGATGGTACATGGACTCGGGTGCTACATCTCATATGACCCATAATTCTGGTAATCTCTTGCCCCTTTTTAATTTAAGCACGAATAATCATATTTTAGTTGGCAATGGTCATCGTATTCCAATTATTGGTTATGGTCATACTAATTTACCCCATAATTCCCTTGCCTTAAAAGATGTCCTCCTAGCACCTCAAATTATTAAAAATCTTATTTCAGTTCGTAAATTTACTTCTGATAATTCGGTTTCTATTGAATTTGACCCTAATGGCTTTTCTGTGAAGGACCTTCGCACGGGGAGGGTAATAACGAGATGAAATGATTTTGGGGACCTCTACCCAGTCACTTCCAACCCACCCAAGCACGTGTCTGGCCACATCACTCATCACAGTCGCTCCTTCCACTTGGCATGATCGCTTAGGACACCCCGGAGCCTCTTCTTTACAATTTCTTAGGAGCAATAATTTAAGGGTATTTTCATTTTTACCACCTTCAAATAATGACTTTGTCGAATTTACCACCTCCAAAAAAAAAACATTTACTTTACCACCTCATAAAAAAATTAAACATCAGTTTTACCACCTCATCGGAGCTCAGGTGACGGAAAACGCTTGTGGGGCCCAGCATAACGGCTAGTTTTTGATTTTTTTTCCCAAATTTCTCTCGATTTCCCTTTTATTTAAACCTAGTTCTTCATTTGTACACCAAATTCTTGCAGATTGGAGATTAATTTTTGCGATTTTCTTCACAAATCAGTATTTTTGGGCAACCTTAACAATCCCAAACCCTCTAATTATCAAACAATCAATTGAACTCCTCGACAACAAGCATCAAATAGGTAAGCCATTGTCGTTAATTCTCTAGCAATTTTCGTGATTTCTGTTGTAATTTTTTGGCAATTCGTTGCGTGATTATGTTGCATTTGGTAAGAGTAATTGAAATTGGGCGTTTTGTGAGGTCAATTAAACCCCAATTTGAATTAAAATACTTAGGGTTCATGTAAGATTAAATTAGATTGGGGGTTTTTGTTATGTGAATTGGCTACTGAAATTAGGGTTATATTATGGTGATTGTGTTCAAATACAATTAATTTCATTCTTGTTCTTACTGAATTTCAGAAGGGAATGTCTTCAGTTAGCATGTCACCCTCAAAGGAGAAAAAATGCCAATGTGGAGTTCCAATGTCTAGTCTGCTTGGACTAGGGAGAACCCAGGACGCAAGTTTAGGACCTGCAAATTCTATGATCCTGTGACTGAGTCAAGGGGGTGTAAAGCTTTTGAGTGGGTGGATCAACCAGATGGAACACCTTGGCAAACAGAGGTGATTAACAACTTGCTGCTAGACAAGAAACTAATGAAGGGAGAGCTGAATGACATGAAGAGGGAAGTTGATGATGTTAGTGGACAAAGGAGGTGCTTGCTCAATGAGATTGACAGCTTGAAAATGAAATGCAAAGCTCTTAGCTCAGACAGGAAGAAGATGATCAAGGAAGTGCATGGCAGCAATGCAACAACAAAGAAAATGCTCACAGTACATGCTATTGTTGTGTTTTGTTGTTTTGGTTTGGTACTGGCTATGTATTTTAGATCTTAGGTTCATTTAGGAATGCTTAGAAACAAAAAAAATCCCCAACTTATGTTGTGTTTTGTTGAATTATTATGTGTGGATGTTGGGATGACATTTCTTGTACTACTTTTAACAACATCAATGAGAAATGGAACTTTTTGGTAGAAACATATCACAATTCGTATTAGTACTTGCAACACAATGTTTGAAATTGTTTTACATTGGCTGAGACAAAAGTTAAGGCACCTTTGTGCAAAATCATTGTTCAACTATCATTGTTCAACTACCAAATAAACTTGGTTGTCTATTACAAAATACTAATGAGTAGACCTAGGGTCACAGTTGATTGAGATCCTTGTCCTTCTTGCTTGTCATTACATGAAGCTTGGACCTGGTCTGTATTTTGACTTTGGGAGGAGTAGTTGTTGGCACTCTTGTGGGCTGACTCAGGCTCCTGTTACTCCTGGTAACAGGCTGAGTTGGCAAAGGCTCTGTTCTTGTTGCAGGCTGGCTTGACACAGCAGTTGCAGGTGCAGCATTACTTGACCCAGCCTGTGCTGTTGTTGGAGGCTGATATTGTGGCAACTTCAGTGCAGCCTGCAATCACAGTATGACAAGACTCAGAAACAAAGCCACTAAATACACTCAAGTCACAAAATACACAAAATACCTGTCTTGTTGCTTTCTCTTCACTTTTCTTTCTCTGTTCCTTAAGCCAAGGAGTCTGCATCTGTGGCCTCCCACCCTTTGGATTTGTTGCAGGTGGGTTAGGCTGTTCTGGTGCTGCTTCAGCCTTGCATGTTTTGGCAAAGTGGCCAAACCCACCACAATTCTTGCATTGTTTCATCACCTTTGGCTTCTTGCCCTCAGGTGCTGCAGAAGTGCCCTCCCCTGGTTCAAGCTTTCTCTTATTTGCCTTAGGTCTTCCTGGCTGCACTTTCAGCATAGGTGGCAAAGGCTGTCTGAGCTTGACCTTTTCCCAATTCTTAGGGCCAGGCATTGGCTGTATTGGGTTCTCATATGCAGCCAAGTATGTCACCCTATAGTAATGTGGGTGCACATACAACTTAGGATCATCCCTTTTGTCCATTATGCAAGCAAATGCATGGACACAAGGTATTCCTGTCAACTCCCATCTATAACAAGTGCATTTTCTCTCTTGCAGATCCACAATGCACTGATCATCCTTGTATTTCACCTCATAAATTTCATCCCTTGAAGCTGTAACCTCACATGTCATGGCATACTTCTCCAACCCATCAAAGACTTTGTTGACAAATGGGGTTAGTAAACCTTCCCAAGACTTTGCTGCCTCCCATTTGTCATTACTCCTCTTCATCATATATATTCTAAGCCATTCCATTTGAGTTAGAATAGGCTTGTCTCTGGCATCTCTAATCACTGCATTAAATGTCTCACACATGTTGTTTAACAACATGTTAGACTTGCAGTTTGTAGAGAAAGCATGCCTTGACCAGTGCTGGGGGTCAATGTTTGACAACCACTGGTATGCTTCTTCATCCAAAAAATTGATACTTTCCATAGCAACTTCAAACTCAAACTGATACAACCACACACATGACAACCATTCAACACAACAACAACCATGTGCAAAACTAAATGTTCCTAGCATACATTATAGTTCACCATAAAACTGACATAAAAGAACCTAAATAGAAGCTTACCAGAGTGCTTGTCCTAGCAGCAGCCCAGAACAATTCCTTGAAAGTTGCACCATGAAATTTCAGTTTGAAATTTGACCAAATATGCCTCACACAAAATCTGAGCTCAGCTTTGGGGGCCACATCTGCAAATGCTTCTATGAGACCCTACACACAAGGCAAAACTAACAAGTTAGTGTACAGAAAATTCAAAAGCAAAGTAATTTAAACACAAACACAACCCACTTACTTTCTGTCTGTCAGACATAAAAGTCAAGCCATCTCCTTGGTCATACACACAAAGTGCCTTGAGCAAGCTCTCCAGAAACCAGCACCAGCTGTCCTTGTTCTCAATCTCTGCAGTTGCCCAAGCAATTGGGAAGATGGAATTATTGCCATCTTTTCCAACTGCAACCAAGATCTGCCCAGGGTATGCCCCTTTTAGATGGCACCCACCCACCCCAATTACTGGTCTGCAACCAGAAATGAATCCATCCCTAAGTGCAGCTAAGCACACAAACATCCTCATAAAAATTGGTCTTTCAATTTGATTAATATCATCCACCACCACATTACACTCACTCCCTGGGTTCCATTTCAGCAGTGCCTTCCCATAGTCCCAAACCTTTGAGTATTGCTCTGATGAAGAGCCATATATTATAAGCTTTGCCCTGCTTCTAGCCAACCAAGCCTTAGAGTATGTAATTTTGATCCCCAAGCCATTCAAGGCCCTGTCCTGAATCTGTTTAATCTTCCATCTGGGGTTGCCCCTGAACTCCTCCAAGTACCTGTCAGCAAGGAACTCTGCTGTCACCTTGTTGTTCATTTTACTCCTAACACACCTATGCTTCAGCCTTAGTGTCTTAATTTGCCAAGCCTCTGATTTCACAAGCCTTGTTGCATAAAACTTGAACCTACACCTAACACCCTTACTACATGTACACTTCACTATCCTACAACTGTTCTTGTTATACACACACTTGCATTTCCTTTTGCAATATGTTGTTAGCCTCTTTGAATCATTGTGAAGAAGGTAATACTCATACCTATTTTCAATTGCATGTTGTCTCAAAGCTTTTCTCATTGTTTGCACATCACTGAACCTTTGACCAACTACAAATTTGATAGCCCTTTCAAAGTCTGTCTCAGGGTTAAACCAAGTAACACTACCCTGATCATCATCTGAATCACCTTCCACACTCTTTAGCTCATCAGAATCACAAGTTGCCTCCTCTTCAACCCTCACTTCAATTTTCTGTAGATTTC